AAATTTGGTTCCAAAAATTATTCAGACCGAGTCTGGGAAAAAAAACTGAAGTTGAGGTTTTCATGAAGCTGGATGACAGCATGCCCAGGAGACTACAGGCTGTCATTGAGGCTAAGGGCTGCCCGACACAGTATTCATAGTTGTGTAAATACTGTCATACTAAAAGCTGTCTGTATTATTTTGGTTGATTGTAATCTATTACATACCTTTCTATCAAAATTATCTGACATTATCAAGATGAATTTGTTCTGACACAGTTTAACTCTGAGTTCTTGTTATTTTATTACCGTTTTCTAAACTATAGCGAATAAACTGTGATAATGTGAGAAATGTTGAAGGTGTCTGAATAAATTTTGGTTTGACTGTATCTATTTGATAAATGAAGTTAACCAACTAACATTATACATACCCTTTTGGTTTCTGTACCCAATATTTAAAAAATGTACAAATGCAATAAAAATATCGGTATCGGTACTCGGTATCGGCAAGTACCAAAAATAAAAGTATCGATATCGGGCGAGTACTGGAAAAAGTGGTATCGGTGCATCCCTAGATTAAATACATAAAGGATATGTGTGTTATTTAACATGTTTGCGTAATATTCTGAGTTTGCATTTGACTGTTTTTATTGATTTTAAGGAATACTGAATCTGTTTTTGTGTGAGTGAGATGAGTAATACATGCTGACATTTAGCCTAGAACTACAGTAAGATCATGTTCACACAGCGTCTCTGCACTCACTCCTGATTCCCCTCAACATGAGGACAGGAGAGCTGCCAGTCAGTAAAAAAAGTAACTCAGATATTTTCTTGTAAATTAAAAAATAATGCTTTACTTTACTAGTTACTTGAAAAAGTAATCTGATTACGTAACTTTGTGCAACTTTGTATTTGTAATGCATTACCCTCAACACTGATTCTGAAAATGTGTGTATTAGCTTACATTTACATTTACACATAATTGAGATCTAAACGACCGAGGCAGTGCATTCACTGTTGGTGTTAACGGCTCCTCACTCACAGAATGATCTCTGATTGGGCTGTGTTTCAGATCGTGGCGCGGGTGAGCGTGGATAACCGGACTCGGGCTCTGGTTCAGGCTCTGCGCCGGGCGTCAGACGTGCGGCTCTTCATCCCTTGGGTGGAGGATCTCAGTCTCCATCTGCTGGAGTTCCCAGAAACACGATCGGTGGCCGTCAAGGTGAGCATTCAGTCTGTAACCCACAGGCTACAACAGGGCTAGAGGACCTGAAGGAAAACATGCTGAAATAAAGGTAACGTTTCAGGGTTTCTGTGGGGCTTCATTGCACAAATGACACAAATTAAGACCTGAAAGTGTTAAATCAGAGCAGAAAGTCATAAATTCATAAAATCATGGCAAAAAATGGTGCATGAACTGCAAAAAAACAAATACCTTCCTCAGTATTTTTGTCTTGTTTTCCAGTACAAATATCTCTATAACAGGGGTGCCCAAACTCGGTCCTGGAGGGCCGATGTCCTGCAGAGTTTAGCTCCAACTTGCCTCAACACACCTGCCTTCAAGTTTCTAGTATGCCTAGTAAGAGCTTGATTAGCTGGTTCAGGTGTGTCTAATTGGGGTTGGGACCGAGTTTGGGCACCCCTGCTCTATAAAGTGTTTTGAATTTGTATTTGTTTTTATTCCAGCAGGTGGCACTAATCTGCCTCCATTCAGTAGATTTAAAGTGCTTGGCTCCATTTTTAACTTAGATACTGCTTTAATGAAAAAATCGCATAAAATTTTTGTCATTTAAAAAAAAAACATTTTATATAGAAATAAATGCTCCATAATGTAGATGTGAATATTGCTTAGTAACATATAATAATAATAACTTTATTTTCTATAGCACCTTTAAAGGAGCTTCTCAATAAAAAATTATAACATAAAATCCCCTCAAAATACCGAATATTAAAGAAAAACATGATTGAAATTAAATATACTACATTCGCTTAGTGCAGACTGGAATCTGTGTAGTTTGTGATCATGACGTGGGTCAGTTTCTGGTGAAAAATGAATGTTTGTGAAGTGCTGCAGTGGGTTTGTGCTTCTGCTACTGTAGAGGAAGATCAAAGATAACCCTCTGGATAAAAGCATCTGTTACATGAATGAATAGATATATTCTGCAGGAGCGTGTGATCCCGTGTCTACTGCGTCTGCGTCAGGCCGGTGACGTGTGTCTGCAGTCCGCGGTCCGACAGGCTCTGGCTCTGCTGGGCTTCACTGAGCCCGTGAGGAAGCGCGGCATCCGGATCCTGGCCATCGACGGAGGGGGGACCCGGTGAGAACCTTAAAGTCTCACAGAGTCTTCATTATCATGTTAAGAGCTCTTACATGTGGAGATGGAAAACCCTAGTCACCACCATACAAAGACTGTGATTCAGTGAAATACATGCTGCACGTTCAACACAATCGCAGTTCACAATCAGTGTATCCCGCGCATTTATGATGCACCTTTGATGACCTGACAGTGTTGACGTTATGGTTTTCATATTCTGATATGTTGTAGATGGTTGTAAGATGCATATTTGATGTCTCTTTATGTGTCTTTTTGAATGAGCAGCTGAAGTAGAGTTAGAGTTAGAGTTATACTTTATTGTCTTTTGCAGGAAATTTGTCTTGGACTCAAAGCTGCAGTAGTTCACGACAACCACACACAATAACAGCAACAACATTATTAAAAAAAGAGAGAAAAAAAACAGTTAAAATACCATCACAATTACTAGTAAAGTAGCAAAGCAAAGACATTTCAAAATAAGAGTCCTGGTGTATTTCAGGTTTGTTTATAACTAGAAGTCCCTCATTATGCATAAAGTATTTGTTTTCCTGGCTATTATTGGTATTTTGGTTACAAAATAAGCTTTTTATCTGCTATTTAAATCAACGTAAACTCTGTATTTATCTCTGAATTGCCCCGTCACAGGAAAGAAAGACGAAGAACATAATTTAACACATTGAGTATATAGATTTTATTAGTATCGGCACAATAATATTTCTATTGCCTTTCTATTAACGTGTTATTGATGGACCTCTACCTCATGTGTATTGATATATGAGAACATAAACCACTTCATTGTGTAAATACTGAATAAAATACGTCTTTAGTATTTAAACTCACAGTTGAATGTGCCGCAGCCTGTTTAATTAAGTAAATTAATCTGAGATACCTGATTGATTTTGAGACTGTATGGGTTTATGAATGGCATGCAGTGTTCATTCTTAAATGAGATGTTAAAGCTGAGTTTGGGGTTTCTGGTGTGTGTTTCAGGGGTCTGCTGGCCCTTCAGACTCTGCGCCGCTTACAGGAGCTGTCAGGAAAACCTGTCCATCAGCTGTTCGACTACATCTGTGGCGTCAGCACAGGTGTGTGTGTGTGTGTGTAGTGAAATATCACAACAACCGACTAGTGAGGTGACTTTATGGCTCATAGATCAGCAGAATCATGTCTGTATTTAAATCTAGTGTTCTGCACAGGTTACGACATATACACAGAACATATAATTAACCTGATAGAAAAACAATGAAAGTCCATAATATAATGAAACAAGTGTGTGTGTGTGTGCGTGTGTCAAGTCAAGTCACCTTTATTTAGTCAAGTCAAGTCAAGTCAAGTCTGCTTTATTGTCAATTCTTCCACATGTACAGCACATACACACAGAGAATTGAAATTGCGTTACTCTCAGACCCTTGGTGCATACAGATAACACTAACAGTAGAACATAAATACAGATATACAGATTAAGTATAAAAATACAACTATACAAATATACAAATAAGGTAAAATGTAAAAAAATATATAAAAAAATATATATAAAGCAGCACACGGCACATGGCAGATAGAGTGCAAACCAGTGAAGTAAACAACAGTGCAGATATAATGATTTGTAGTGCAAAAAGAGCTTATTTAGACTGATTAAAGTGACTGTGTGTGTGTATTTGGGAGGGGGGAGTGGGAGAGTCC